AGCCTGTCGATCCCGGATAAGCTTCATCAGCCATCTTCAGACAAATAAATAAGATAATCATGGAAGATAATCATCCTGGACTACAAGGGATTGCCGAAGGTTTATATACACCATAACACCATGCTTTTAGTATGGCAGAGGCTCAGGAGTGGTTAAAATATGCATTTGTGGGAATCAAGGAGACTTCCATAAACACACTGGATTCCTTAGGACCAATTTCTGATCCTAAGAAACATAGTGAATGTCTAAGGAGTCAGTTAAATATCCTTGAGTATCCTTACACAACATAGAAAAGTTAAGAACCTGAGAACAAAGTTTGCTTTTGCTCACCTCTTAACAATATATCACTTATTACCAGACAAATTCAGTTCATTGCGTGTGTCATTGTCTATAATGCATGCAAAGTCTTTTTTTCTCTTTGCCCTCTAAGGGATGAAATATTTTTTATGTTTGATTTTCGAACTTCATCAAAGAAAGTAACAGATCACATTTCCAATAGACTTTTCCTAAACTCTCCTTCACTGTTGTAGCTCTTCTTTTACTTACTACTGAGGCACTTCCTTTACATCTCTAAAGGGGCAGGGCCTCCTAGTTTATTTCATTCCTTTAAAGGGCCTTTCTCCTTCTTCCTTGTAGTAGAGACTGAAAGGAGCCCCATTACATTAGTGTCTGTCTATATCAGTATATTTTTTATGATGGTCAAAGCAAGAAATATTTATAGAAAACTGTGATTAATCAAATATTTTCATTTGGGAAGGGGCTGGGAGAAATGAAGGAGGAGTTCATTTCTCGTGGTCTTAGAGACTGGTATAAGATCTCTTTGTAGAAATGCACAGAAGGACCTCCTTTGTCTCCTTCAGGTCCTGTCTTAAAACTCTGCTTTGCCATGATGAGGGTTAGGCAGATAATGCAGCATCTAATACCTGTCACACTGGAAAGATTATCTCATTTTTGTCTTGTAATTCCTGTTCTGTATGTCTGTACCCAGCCATTCCCTTGTGACTTGGGGTGGGTACAGACGTTACATGCTTTAAGCGTGCAGAAAGCGCTTTACAGCCATAACAGAGCGGACATTCAAAGCACAAAGTGCTTTAAAATGGCGGATCCCACTGTAACCCTGGATGGATGCCATCCCAGGCAGCATCGTGCAGGGCAGCTCTAGCCTTTGGCAGGACTCCTGTGCCCTGCCCAGGCACTATCCTGGCCCCGCCCCCTCAGCTGCTACGGTCCAAGTCGATGACAGCCTCTGATCCCAGCCCCACATGCAGCTGGGGCGAGGTTTCTGTTCCTCTAGGCACCCCAAGGGGGGGAGGGAGAGAGGGCTGCAAGAGAAGGGCTCCAGGGTCTCCTCCCCACCACAGCAGCCCTGCCCAGGTCTGCCTGGCTGGGGCTGCTGCAGGGAAAGGACTCCACAGCAACCCCATCCAGAGCTGGGGCTGCTGCAGGAACACAGATCCTGGAGCCCTTCCCTTGCATCATCCCTGACTGGGTCACACCACAGTTGCTGGCTGCAGCTGTCAAGAAGTTGAGGGGGTGTGGGTGAACCTGGTTCATCTCTCCCAGACCCCAGCCAGCAAGCTGTGGAGGAGCCTTTATGGCAGGGGGGGATCCATTCCCCCACAGTTGTTAGCTGGTGGTGGGGCAGGGCTGGGGAGAGTGGCTGCCCTGGCAACTCCTTTCCCCCTTGTCCCCCCAGACAGAGAGCATCTGTTTGGTTGAATTGTAAGTGGTATCAGGAGAAGAAGGACAGTAATGGTTGAAAGATGTCCTATTGCTAAAACCACCACCTCTTAACTCTTCCTTTACTTCTGTGGAGGCTTTTTCCACATGGAGCATCTGACTTCAGATGCTTTTACCCAGGTCCTGGTCTGACTTTGCAGGGAAGGTGACCTCCGTGTCCTTGCTAAAGACAGTCAGGTAGAATAGTGCTTTTGGCATGAGAGTTGCCTGCTGGTTCCTTCAGGAAACAGGTAAGGGATCTTTAGGAGGAGGTGGTTAGGTTGAGGAGCATCTATGAAGATGAAGACTTGGTTGACATGGTGCGTAAAGGGACCTCTATGATCCTGGAAGAGAACCAGAGAAGACATTGGCGAAGTGTGCTCAGAAGGGTGGAAGCTGTCTGCTCATCACCTCTGGCAGCAGAGTGCTCTACCTTTGAGCCCCCAACCTTAAGGTGAAGAAAAGACACAAATCTTTGGTATCAAAGGAGAAGGAGCATGCTCTTACTAGTGGAAGAAGTGAAGCTGTAGACCCCAAAGGCTGAGAGATTCATGAGCAGCACTCTCAAAAGGAAACAAGGGGCAGGGGTGGCAATTGATGACTCCATTCTCGGGGCCCAGATGTATCCATCTGCTCATCTGGCATCATATCTTGGGTGGTCTGCTGCCAGTCAGGACCCCAAATCTTAGAGAACAAAAATGCATGTGTTCCAGATGGAAGACTTTTTTTTTGAATGTCTGTGTGTTAAGGTGAAAGGGACAGATAGTAAGGTTGATGACGTGGGCATCTACTACAGACCACCAAACTAGGAGATGGACCGGGCTTTTTAAAATAACTCTGAAACATAAAAATCACATGATGCATAAATAAAGTGGGATCTGCTGAGAGGCTAAATTGAAAGTGCACAGGTAGTCTATCAAGTTTCTGGATTGTGTTAGGGACAACTTCTGGCACAGATGGTGGATAAAACTGAGTAGGAGGAAGAATTTTCTCATTTTGCCACTTACTAATAGGAAGGAATTGGTTGAGAATTTGAAAGTGAGAGACAACTTGGATGACAGTAATCATCGTAAAGTAATTGCATTCTTCAGGACCCAGAAAGATACTGGAGCATACCATTAAAAATGTACATGCAAACATCTAGAGGGTAACAAGGTGAGAAGTTACAGACAACATACCTTTGTCAAGGACAAGTCATTCCTAACCAACCTGATTTCCTTCTGTATCAAGCTACCGTATGTAGTTTGCCTTGACTTAGCACGGCTTTTGACATGGTCTCCAATGACATTCTCGTGAGAGGTAAGGAGATAGTGTAGATGAGACTACTAAAAATGGAGGTGTGACTAGTTGGAAAATTGTGCTAAAATGGTATTTGTGAATGAATGACTCAATGTCAGGCAGAGATAAAGTATTGAAGTGGGGTTCTCTGCAGGTCTGTCTTTGGTGTGGTACTGTTGAATATCTCCATTAATAACTTGGCACAGGGCTAGCCAAATGGTGGTCTGTAACGGCCTCTAAGGAGTTCACCTGTGCCCCCCGGGTCTCGGTCTGGGTGCCGCCCCACACCAATCCAGCTACTGCTGCCTCTGAACTGTCCAGCTCCCTCTTCCTTCATCTGCTGCCTGCCGCTGCCCCTGCCCCTGGAAGTAGTGCAATGTTGTCTGCGGGACCAAGGGAGCCTGTGGCCAGGAACTGGGAGAGATCCAGGAACCCCAGCACACCTCCCCTCTTGCCTGCTCCTGGTTGATCATCTTTCAGGTCTCGTGCTTCCCCACTTACCTCAGGGCTTTGGTCTCCATCCCCTGGCAAACCTACTTTAAAGCCTCACTAGGCTAGCAAGCCTGTCTGCAAAGATGCTCTTCCTTCTCTTTGTCAGGTAGATTCCATCTCTTCCCAGAAATCCTTCCTCTTGGAAGAACATCCCATGGTCAAAGAAGCCAAATCCCTGCTGGTGACACCACCTGTGCAGCCAGATGTTGATCTGCAGGATGCACCTGCCCCTGCCCAGACCCTTTCCCTTGACCGGAAGGATCAACGAGAACACAACATGAGCCCCAGACCCCCTCACCCTTGCACCCAGAGCCATATAGTCACTCTTGCTACTCTCAGGGTCAATGATAGCAGTATCATTGGTGCCCAAATGGATGAGCAGCATGGGGCCAGAGGGCCGGATGAGCCTTGGTAGTCCTTCTGTGACATATCAGATCCGGGCTGTAGCAGTCTGCCTGTGGCAGCACAGAGCTCAAAACAGGCTGCAAAACCTGTCTGAGAAGCAGGGTAAATACCTGCTGCAGCTAGACAGCAAAGACTGCAGTGTAGAAACACCTTATTCTGTCTGTGAACCTGGTTGTTAAGAGATCAATAGTTTTTAGGATTAAAACAAAAACTATTAAAATTAAGCAGATGCACCAACAATGAAAGTTATTCCTGGATCACGAGATATGAAACATTACCTTTCCTTTGATATAAAAACCTTGGGAACGAAGATTGACTTGAAATATTCTTACGAGCCATGGGACCAGCTATGCGATGTATTTTTAGCTGTATATCAATAAACTGTTAAAGTATATGTAGACTAGATATGTGGCACGGGTAAATGACTTAGCTCCACTGGGGTCAGTGGATCTAAATCAATTTAGATCTGCCAAAAATCTGTCCATTCATGTTTAGAAACACCTTCAAGGACAGGGGGGATAGTAGTCGCTCAACTCGGAGTCCTAGTGTGAAGTCTCCTGTTGGTTATTCTGTGAACGCAAACCAACTTCTAATTCACAAAAAAGCTAACCCAGTATCCTGCACAGTATACCTAGTTTAGTCACTGCTGTCTGTGTCTTGAGCTGTGCTGATTGCTTCCTGCAAGGTCATTGAACCACCCAGCGTCTGATGGGTCGAGCTCTGTAGCTCTGCTCAGGCAAAACCTGCTGCTGTTAAAATCTGCATCAGTATAGTAGCAAAAACCAAATAGCAACAAACAAACCTTTGGCTTCAACCCTTTAAATTTTTTAACACAAAGTAAATAACGCCAGCTCACCCCAAACTGTCAGATTCCAAATACAGAATTAATTTACATGCAGAGCGGGAGCTCGCGGTGTTGGGAGATCTTTTCTTTCCAACAGAAGCACTCAGCTGAAACAACAGCTATGACTCAGTTGCCAGCAAATGCTGCCTGAATTGATTTAGTCTGAGTTCAGATTTAGCACATAATCATGTTCAATTTGATCCAGTGTGCTGCCTGGAGATAAAAGGGTTGAAAAAATAGATTTAGCTTATGTCAGTCTTGGTGGTGATGTCATGGCCACGAGAGGCAGGATAGTGCTGTTAGTATGCTGTGCCAGCTCTGTTGGTGGGTGTGTGCAGCGAAGGCAAGGAACAACTCCGTTAAGTGCAGAGAGCTTGTGTCAGAGGCTTACAGTTGTCGTCAGCACTGAGAGCAGAATTTGGGACTCTTCAAAAGCAATACTGAATCAGAAATTTCCCAGTCATTCATAACTCTGAAGCTGCCTAACTCTTTGTGTGCAAGAGGGGGGGATGCCAGCCCGTAGCATGGACTGTGATGTCTCCACTCTGGTTGCCTGTGGGGTGGATGTGGAGATTTTTACCAATCAAGAGGTTAAGGTATGCACCTGCAATCCTTTTGTTACAAATGCTTCTCATAAAAGCCTTGACAGCAATAGGAATTGGTATGTAGCAGTTTAAAACAAGAAGGCAGATGAAATCCTGCTGCACTAGTAAATACATATGCAGTGCATGAATATCAGCATTGCAAGAAATGAGAGGGTAATGATTGCTTTCCAGTCTGCTTTGATACGCTGACAGCGCAGCCTTTTGTTTACTATTCAACGGTAAAAGAAATGTTATATAACACAAGTCTGTGCATGTTTCATCTTGGTAACAGAAATGACTCATTCTTAATTTCTCAAAGATGTGTTTATTCCAGTGTCACTTTTGTAGATGTGAGTTATAATAGGTATCAATTGCTGCTTGACAATTCAGACACAGGAACAATACATTAGTTTAGGGCTTAGCTTTGCTATATCTTTCTCAGGTGATTTTTTTTTCCAGGTTTTTGCAGCCTTTATGCTACTTGCCTTTAAAGTCAAATCTAGCATTGGGTATTTTTAAAGGATTAAAATTTTGTAGCAAGTATTTTTACTATATCTGCAATGTAAGTATATATAAAAAGTTAGATGTCATATGTACAGTATGAATGACTTGAAGACAATATACGTCTTAATATGCAGTGCTTATCTTCTTTGATTTCCTGCAGCAGTTGTCTAATTGTCACTGGTAATAGCTCATTGATGAAACCAGTTCTTTTCCAGTTTTGTTATATTACAATAAAAAGAACCCCAACAAAGTAACATTTCAAAAGACTCATTTTAAATATGTCTTTCACAAATCATTTCAAAGAGCTTGAAGACATAATGCAGTGAGATTCAGCAGTTTATTTAAAGGGCACAGATACAGTCAACCAAATGTATTGTACTGTCCTACAGTTTTGGAAGAATGCAGGAGGAAAAAGGGAAGGCTCTGCTAATTTGGGCCAGATTGTGAAGTCTTTCTTCCATTTATGCCCATGAATAGTCCTCTGAAGTCAGGGGCACTATTTGTGTGACTAACTGATCATTTCCGAACAGATTGTGTTTTTTCATTTGATGCTTTATTTTTCTGTAAAAGTGTGTTCATATGATATCATATATAAATTGCACAACTGCTTATGATTTACCAGTAGGAGGCCCTTTAATTTAAGAAACCAGTCTTTTAATGCAAAAGCCTTAATGCAGTTTGTGAATGGATTCAGCTATCTAGTTGCTGGTTCATGGCTGTCTGAATGACAACACTCCTGTCAGCACTGTGACATGTTTTTTGTAGTTGAAGGGGTGCAATATGTTGGTAAATGTTTGATTGTGCTCATGTTGCTTCACCTAAAATATAGTAGATTTGACATTTAGAGTCTTAACTGTATTCACGGGGGATGGGTTCAGAGAAATTCAGACTTTTATGCTGAATGCAGATTGTGCATTAAAGGTACTTTGTACTATAGTAATGATAACAGTCAATAGAAAGACTCCAGTTGACTTCAACCAGAATTGGATCATGTCCATTTTGAACAGCAGCATCCTGGAGGAATGACTGAGGAATGTGGGGAAAAAAAGGGAGCAAAAGGTTTACAGCAGCATTAAAGAAAGAAATTGGCACATGGCTCCACAATTTCATACCACACTGATTAAGGGATGGTATTGTGCATCAGACTGGTTAAACTTGCTGTTAGCTTACATTACAACTTCTTTAATTCAAATTTCGGAACAAATTATTGGGAAGAACGACTAGGCATTCTGTATTGCAGACTGCATTGTAGTGTAGAGACATCCAAGGTAGCTAAAACTAGCTGGCTCAGATACAGGAAGTAGTGTAGCTGCAGCAGCAGGGAGCGGAGCTTAGCTTGATATACCCTTGCTTCTTGGCAGGGTGATTTGGCCGCCACTGAGTTCCATGCTGCTGCAGCTAGACTATCTCCAGCACCTGACCTAGCCAGCTACTAATACATTACACTGCAGTCTGCATGGTAAGAATAGCCATTGTTAATGATTCAACATTCCCGAGACATAAGGGTGGAGAAAGCTATTACTGTTGGTGTCTCGTCCTCCAAGGAAACTTCAAGCAAAAACGAGAAAGATAGTTTTCTAAAGTCTGTTATGGAAGGAGCTCAGACATTATGGTGATGGACAGACAGTAATATAAAACCCTGTAGTTGATGGATAGATGGTTAGGACTTGAAATAAAATGGGGAAAAAAATGATTTTTGGAGGGAGGTAGGCATGAGGCTCAAACCAAAACAGCCAAGTGAGGTTCCCCAACCTTTGCAGGTCAACTCTGAGGCATCAGGAGATTGGAAACTGAAGATCTGCGTTCATATACAGGCAGTCCTTGACTTACAACGTTTCGAGTTACAACTTTTTGCACTTACAATGCTTAAAAATTGACACCGTTTTAACTTTATGACGTCAATTTCGACTTTACAACGCTTGATCTGATGCGACGCCACACCAGCGAACAAGTTTGCTGTGTCACTCATCTCCCTGGAGAACATCTGTCCAAACTTCCTTGGACACTTTCTTTAAGAAAGCTAACAAGACTCTAGAAAAACCTGCTGCCAGGACTCCTGAGAAGACTCCAGCCAAGAGTCCTTCAAAAAGTCCAACCAAGAGCCCTTCAAAAAGTCCAGCAAAGTCACCTCAAAGAAGTCCTTCCAAATCAGTATGATTGCTATTTAGAATATAAATACAATAATGTAGCTCTATTACTCATCTATAACTGATTCAGTACAAAATTCTGGGGTATTTTTGGTGAAAATAGGGTATTGGGCCTTGGTTCAGGAACCAATCCCCCATTTCTAACATTGTTTCTTATGAGAAAATTGGTTCTGAGTTGCATCGTTTCGACTTAAGACACAGTTTTCAGGAACCAATTGTGTCGTAAGTCTGAGGACTGCCTGTACTCTAAGGTATTGCATTCTAATACATTATAGCTGTACTGTGGGCATGCCTCTTCCTTCACATCCGAGAGACATTATCTCAGTAATAATGAGGAAGTACTAATGGGTGACAATTTTCTTATGTGTATGGTATATTGTAGGTCACTAGGATTCTCAATATGGGCTAAGAATCCTTTAGGAATAATTTTTCTGTTCCAGTGAAGAAAACTTGAGCCTCAAGATTTCTATTGCTGCAATGGCCCCACTCAGTTTATTTCATTTACATCTAGTTAAAGAGATTAAATGAAGCTCTGGAGAAAACTGTGAACTATACTAAGCTATCCAATCACAGGTTTCAGTCTCCTGTTCCCTGTGAGTTGCTCGTTAGAATAATAAGTGGCAGTTCAGAGAACAGGTAAAACCAGAACAAACATCATCATGTACCTTAGAACAGAATCATTGAATCGTAGAAAATGAGAGTTGGAAGGGACCTCAGGAGGTCACATCTAGTCCAACCCCCTGCTGAAAGCAGGACCATCCCCAACTAGATCATCCCAGCCAAGGCTTTGTCCAGCTGGGTCTTAAAAACCTCCAAGGATGGAGCTTCCACCACCTCTCTGGGCAGCTTGTTCCAGTGTTTTAATACCCTGCTTGTGAGAAGGTTTTTCCTAATGCTTTTCCTGGACTTCCAAGGGAGGTGGTGCTTTCCCCTACCTTGGAGGTGTTCAAGAAGAGATTAGACAAGCACTCTTTACTGCCTAGAGCAGGGGGTCAGACTCAATGATTTACGAGGTCCCTTCCAAACCCAGAAGTCTATGAAATCTATCTATAATATCTAATCTAATCTTCTCTTGCTACAACTTGAGACCATTGCTCCTTGCTCTGTGATCAGTCACCACTGAGAACAGTTCAGTTCCATCCTATTTGGACCCCCCCCCCCACCTTCAGATAGTTGGAGGCTGCTATTAAATCTCCTCTCAGCCTTCTCTTCTCCAGACTAAATAAGTCCAGTTTCCTCAGCCTCTCCTCAGAAGTCATATGATCCAGCTTTCTAACTATTTTCCTTGCTCTCTGCTGGACTCTCTCCAATTTGTCCAATTTGGGCAGTGGGGGGCCCAAAACTGGACACAATACTCCAGATGCAGCCTCACCAGTGCTGAATGGAGGGGAATAATCACTTTGATTTGCTGTCAGTGCTCTTACTAATGCAGCCCAGCATGCCATTGGTCTTCTTGGCAACAAGGGCACACTGTTGGCTCATAGTCAGCTTATAGTCCACTGTAAACCCCCAGGTCCTTTTCCAAAGAGCTGCTGCCCAGCTAGTCAGCCCCCAGCCTGTCCTGGTGCATGGGATTGCTCTGTCCTAAGTGCAGGACTTTGCACTTCTCCTTACTGAACCTCATAAGATTTCTCTTGGCCCTGTCCTCCAATTTGTCTAGGTTTCTCTGAATCCTGACCTTATGCTAAATAGATGTGTTTAGATATAAACAATAGGTGCCTGAAAGATGGTCAAGATTATTTGACAAAAGAGAGAAATGCAAATCTTTGTATGGGAAAGTTAGCTTGCAAAGTTATAGAGTTCAGTAATGCAATTAGAATCTTGCTTCATTTTAATGCACTCAGTTTGTCATTTTGTTGTAATGTTTGTTACAAAAAGAAGTAATGTGGCTGTTAATGAAATCTTGCTGATTTTCTGTTGAAGTTTGAACCTACATTGAATCAATGAAAGAGTAAAACCAATGTTTTTTATATTTATATTTGAGATATTCTTAGATTGCAACCTTGTTAGGTCAGGAACTGGTTTTTTTTCAGTGCCTACTGTAATGAAGTGCAATCTCTGATTGGAGCCTCTAGACACTACTGAAATATAAATAATAATAAATATTAATGATATAGGATGAGGAACGTCTTTCTTCTACTGCAGATATAGTATAGTCTGTCTCATGGAAGGTATCTTAGCGACCAGAAAAAGCTCTGCAGTTTATAAATTGTTAATATGCACAAAGGGCTATACTGCAGATTTACCCCATTCTGTACAGAGGGAGGAGATGGAGAGAGGCCATGTAGCAGTAGGGCTGTCCGAAATTTTGACAGGTGTTTCATTTTGAACCTGTTTCAGCATGTTTCAAGCTCCCGGCGG